ATGCTAAATTCATCTTTCACTTTGAGATGTTCAGATTGCAAACCCAACAAATCATCTTTTCAACAATGCTCTCTGACAGGCTCAAGGTTCACTGTTTTCAACAATGCTCTCTGACAGGCTCAAGGTTCACTGTTTTCAACAATGCTCTCTGACAGGCTCAAGGTTCACTGTTTTCAACAATGCTCTCTGACAGGCTCAAGGTTCACTGTTTTCAACAATGCTCTCTGACAGGCTCAAGGTTCACTGTTTTCAACAATGCTCTCTGACAGGCTCAAGGTTCACTGTTTTCAACAATGCTCTCTGACAGGCTCAAGGTTCACTGTTTTCAACAATGCTCTCTGACAGGCTCAAGGTTCACACTGTTTTCAACAATGCTCTCTGACAGGCTCAAGGTTCACTGTTTTCAACAATGCTCTCTTCAACTGTTTCAACAATGCTCTCTGACAGGCTCAAGGACAGGCTCAAGGTTCACTGTTTTCAACAATGCTCTCTGACAGGCTCAAGGTTCACTGTTTTCAACAATGCTCTCTGACAGGCTCAAGGTTCACTGTTTTCAACAATGCTCTCTGACAGGCTCAGGGTTCACTGTTTTCAACAATGCTCTCTGACAGGCTCACACTGGCTCTCTGACAGGCTCAGGGTTCACTGTTTTCAACAATGCTCTCTGACAGGCTCAGGCTCTCTGACAGGCTCAAAGGTTCACTGTTTTCAACAATGCTCTCTGACAGGCTCAGGGTTCACTGTTTTCAACAATGCTCTCTGACAGGCTCAGGGTTCACTGTTTTCAACAATGCTCTCTGACAGGCTCAGGGTTCACTGTTTTCAACAATGCTCTCTGACAGGCTCAGGGTTCACTGTTTTCAACAATGCTCTCTGACAGGCTCAGGGTTCACTGTTTTCAACAATGCTCTCTGACAGGCTCAGGGTTCACTGTTTTCAGTTGGATGACAAATAAGATCCTCTAAGGAATTCTCACTTTTTGGAATAATTTAAAACTAGAACAAATAACTCATTTTTTTCTCTGAGAGGCAGTTTAGAAGTTGTTTCCATAGAACTTGGTTTTCCTTCAACTAATTTTTTTGTAAAACTATCAAGATTTAAGAAAACTAAAGGATGTACTGATAATTTGACACCTTTTGTTTGTAAAAACCTGACATTAGGTGGTGTTAACATGAGCGGACATGGAGTACGCATTGAACACAACCCAACTGGATGGATACCAACAAAGATATCTCACCAACTAACACCTGACAACACATTTCCTTTCACAAAACATTGTAGGATCCTAACGAGGTCTCTGGAGACTTGGCACAGTGGAACAAGCACCAGCCCATGGTGCAAGCCTCAGGTTCAATGATCCACCTGCCTTCATATGGCTGGAATTCTCATCAAAATAACTCATTCATTACAGTGGAAGGTTGTTATGGATTTGAAAATTGTTACAAGGTACGCAGACATCCAGTTCATTTCCTCAGATTAAAAGGCAGAGTGAAATTTCAGTGGTAGTTTGATCCCCGAATTATACCAAACGTGGTACTTGTTATTTCCCTTCCTGGCAAGGAATAGAACCAGGACTTGCCAGCTCAAAGTCTGTTTAAAATGTCTCAGTGGTGCCTCCTTCATTCAGTGTGGTATTTCATTGGAAAATAACCAACATAAGACAACTATATGAAGGCACCCAAATATGCTTCACATTACACTATGAGTTAAATCCTACTCCGCCTCGCCTCACCCAGCAATGAGATGACTGTGCGGCATAAAACTAAACTCACTCACTCACTCACTCACCCATTAATGAGTTAGTATTGACCTTCAGCAACCCATGCTTGTCACAAGAGGATCAGGTGGTCAGACTCCAGAGCTACAGATAACATTTTTGGTCATTGAGTTATGTACTCGCTTGTGTTCATCTCAATTGGGTATCCTAATTTTCCTTTGAGTAACCAAATAAATTATACCCACCTCACTCAAACTCAATTGGGTATTTTGCCATTTTCCATTATTTGTGAAAATAGAATGAAGTTTACATGTGAAATTTTTGCGTGTGCATTATTTATATTTGATCTGTAATGTGAGAAAAGATAAAATAGACTGCAAGTTCCAAATTCATGTGCTGAAATAGAACCTCACAAAATACCTCAGTTATTCTATCTATCCTCAGTAACCTCCATCTGTAGCGCATGGGTCTGCTAACTTCAAATTCTAGGTTTGCTGAATGCTACAATACGCAAACTAGGATTTAACATTTTTGTGTGTACGCATGTAAGGTCAAATTTATTGAGTATTTACAAGAATTCAAGGGTACTTGTTGGCAATAGGCTTAATAGGAATCGAGTTTTCACACAAATATTTGCGTAATTTACGCAGATACACAGCTTATCTGTACATCTGGACTCGCTGACTTGGTTGATCAATGCTCATTATATCAATCACTGGATTGTCTGATCCAGACTGGATTATTTACAGACCGCTGCCATATAGATGGAATATTGCTGAGTGCGGCATTAAACAACAAAGAAACAATGGGTGTTGAAAACAGGGCTGTAAGGAATGACAGCTTGTAACAGGCTTCAACAAGATGACAGCTATTGGCTTAATCTCAGGGAACCGCAGGGAATAACAAGTCTTATAAACACTGCTTAACTGTAATGGCTAGGTAAACAATCATTTACAGGTTATTGATGACAGTTATTGATGACGGCAGGTAGCAAACCAGAAACAGCTGTGTATTGTTTTTGAACATTTCATGGTTTATATTGCGGGAACACAATGATTCCCATGGTACTAATTATCACAGTATTAATTATGTTCCAATAGCTGTCTTTCATCTGCAGTGAACAGTTCAGTTCTTCATATTAGCATTGTTGCTGCTGTTTGTTGTGGTGACAGTCTGTAAATATTTGAGTGACAATCCAGTGATCAATGGTATGAGCATCGATCTAGGCAATTGGGACACAGTGACATGTGTCAACCAAGTCAGCGAGCCTGACCACCCGATCCCGTTTATTACCTCTTATGACAAACATGGGTAGCTGAAGACACGGATCTTCACTGTTCCCGGGTCTCTTCATATTAGGAAGTGTCCACAACTGGCATATCATATACCCCCATCTGAGATGGTAGCTGGATGTTGGATAGGTGTCTGTTGATAGTTGCAAGGTGGGTTGAGTGGATAGGCATGTCTTTTTCAGAAGGTGTTGTTTTTTTCAAACCATGATTTGTGATGCGCCTTATTTGTGAAAACGCAAATCCATGTTAAACTTTGGTCCCTCTGATTTGAATTGACCAGCCTCAGCTTGTTGCACATACAATGTTGTTATGAAGAATATAGAACCTACTAAAACAATAACACACCCTAGCAGAATGATGTGTGATACTTTGTGTTATATACTGTTGTGTTATATACTAAAACAATAACACACCCTAGCAATAACACACTGTTGTGTTATATACTAGCAATAACACACCCTAGCAGAATGATGTAACTTTGTGTTACTGTTGTGTTATATACTGTTGTGTTATATACACCCTAGCAGAAATGTGTGTTACAATACACTGTTGTGTTATATACTAAAACAATAACACACCCTAGCAGAATGATGTGTGTTACTTTGTGTTATACACTGTTGTGTTATATACTAAAACAATAACACACCCTAGCAGAATGATGAGTTACTTTGTGTTATACACTGTTGTGTTATATACTAAAACAATAACACACCCTAGCAGAATGATGTGAGTTACTTTGTGTTATACACTGTTGTGTTATATACTAAAACAATAACACACCCTAGCAGAATGATGTGTTACTTTGTGTTATACACTGTTGTGTTATATACTAAAACAATAACACACCCTAGCAGAATGATGTGAGTTACTTTGTGTTATACACTGTTGTGTTATATACTAAAATAACACACCCTAGCAGAATGATGTGAGTTACTTCGTGTTATACACTGTTGTGTTATATACTAAAACAATAACACACCCTAGCAGAATGATGTGAGTTACTTTGTGTTATACACTGTTGTGTTATATACTAAAACAATAACACACCCTAGCAGAATGATGTGAGTTACTTTGTGTTATACACTGTTGTGTTATATACTAAAACAATAACACACCCTAGCAGAATGATGTGTGTTACTTTGTGTTATACACTGTTGTGTTATATACTAAAACAATAACACACTCTAGCAGAATGATGTGTGTTACTTGGTGTTATACACTGTTGTGTTATATACTAAAACAATAACACACCCTAGCAGAATGATAAGTGTTACTTTGTGTTATACACTGTTGTGTTATATACTGATATGAGATGCAAGATATTTTGTAACCAATCCTCTTGTTTCTGGTATACATCACTACAGTGTACTGTTAAATTCTCTGTAACAGCTCTAACATAGCAGCCTCTTATTAGTCAGGTGAAGTAGTGCCTTAAAGCAAGAGCAACAATCTAAATCATTGAGGTATGATGTCAAATATCAACCAAGTCAAAGTGCTGATGGTAATTTTGTTTGTTTGTTGCTTCACACCACACCACAGTGTGTAAATAATTGAGTCTGGACATGACAATCCAGTGATCAACAGCATGAGCATCGGTCTAGGCAATTGGGAACCGATGACATGTGTCAACCAAGTCAGCAAGTCTGACCACCCGATTCCGTTAGTTGCCTCTTACGACAAGCATGGGTTACTGAAGACCAATTCTAACCCGAATCTTCATGCGTACCACACTAACGGTAATTTTTGACAAGTACACAAAAGTTTTATGACAGGGGTCTGTAAATACCAACGTTAGGACCAGACAATCTAGTGACTGAACTGATGAACATCAATCTACGCAACTGGGACACCCAGTGACATGCATCAACAACCCAGCGAGGCTGAGAGTGATCCCCTTAGTAGCCTATATGACCAGCAAGGATTGCTTATGATCAAATTGAACCCTGATCACAGGTGTATACCAGTAAAGCCACACAAACAAACTGCCATACCTGTACGATACTGCTGTCTCTATGAGAGGGGCAAGGCATCCATACACTGAAGGGTATCTGTAAATGTAAAACTCAAAATCAACAACTGTGTAATAACTGACAAAAATATATTACAAACTTCATGATGAGAGGGGGCGGGCAGGTAGCCTAGTGGTTAAAGCATTCGCTCGGCACACCGGAAACCCGGGTTCGATTTCTGAACATGGGTACAATGTGTAAAGCCCATTTCTGATGTCCCCCACCATGATATTGCTGCAATACTGCTAAAAGTGGCGTAAAGCTCAACTCACTGATAATGAGATATGCCTGTTCAATAGCCACCATTCTCATACCAAACATACCATGCTCAATGGAGAAACAGAAATATAAAAGTCACGGTGTTGCATAATATATATTTCTTGGTGTTCATTATTGTAGCTTTGGTAAGACACTTAATATAATTAATCATTACATACTTAACTTAGAATTTGTGATCACTACTAGTGAAAGAGAAGATGCACCTTTATTAAAAACTGGATTTAATCAGTACTCGTCTGGGTAGATAACATCTGTCTGCCTTTAACCATATGACCTTATTATCAAGGTTATAGCAACTCGCTGGAGATAGATCTGAATATTTTCCTCCTATAGCAAAACACTGTTTGCTAAAGTTCATTATTCATTGAATCAAATGAAGTATTTGTGAAAGAGTTGTTTATGATCTACTAAAACAGGTATTCATGTCATGTCAAAAAAAGTATTTTTTTTCGCATAAAATCAGTGCCATATTTTTTTCACTGATTCGTCAAAATCTTGACAACCTTTTTTCATTTCATTCAAATAAGACATTTTCCATCAACCCATCACAGTAATAACTATGTTCAGATAAAAATATCTGACATTTGACTATTTGTTTAACCCAAACTTAACCCTTCATTGAGACTTCCACCCGAAGCTGTGGGTCTTCGCAAGTTAAAACACCAGTTTGTGTAGTTACAGACAGATCCAAGCTCATCCAGCATGGATATTTTTAAAGAGCTTTCAACACTGATACAAACCTAAAATGGGCTGAATATCTCATGTACATTTTAATCCTTCATCAACTCATCCATAACATGAGCATCAGCCGTCTTTTTCATTTTCACATTCCGCTAAGCATGTCCACTTATAATCCCAACCAGTTGTGATTTCCTCTGTAACATTTTTCCCTCGATTGAGAGCAGACATAACATTTTTTGGTACCATTCCTGTCCTTTTTTGCACCTGATTGCAAACCGGCACTGCAGGCTGGAAAATGCCCAACGGGGAGTAATATGGATTGAGGATCAGAATGCAGTGTCCCATGAAATACCCTCGCAGCTGAAGGCTCATTCCAGGAAGCATCAAATATTTGAGGTACTTTCACAAGGACGTTGTGAAGATTTTCCTCCATCAATCAATATTCGTTGTGATAGCCTGCTAAATTGGTGAGGGACATTACATCACTGTATCTTCTCATGACCAAAAAAATTTGAACTCGGTTTAATAGTGTGGGCAAAGGGTTCTCTCATTTACTCACTGACAGTCATATTGTCTGTGATGCTTTTTTGTGACTCGTCCAGATTTGAAGAGAAACCTTATGCCTGTCATAAATAGCTGAGCTTGAAATTGAAGATATCTATCTCTTCAGAAGTTCAACTTGAAAACCACAAGACCCTGAACTTGAACACAGTGTAAGCTTTGGAGGTCACCAGCACCTTCTGAACAAACCATTTAAGTTGAGATATTAGGCAGAGCTCCAGATAAGATTTAGCTCATGTGGGTACTGTACCCCTTGTAATTTTTTGGAGTGGGTACTATGAATGTTGAGTGGGTATTTCTTTTTCCGTTACCCACTGCTTTCAAATATGTGCATATTTCAGTCATTTTACTCACCTAAATATTACATCATTGAGTAAGTTTACTAAGCAGGTATGTTCTGCCTTATGTCATATCCAATCAAAACCAACTTAAATATATTGATTTCATAAAAAATCACTCATCCTATACTGACAGTACAACACTTGTCCTATACTAACAGTACAACTTGATAGCAATCGATGTCTTTTTCATTACGCAAGCTATTTTTATAAATATATTCCGTACGCATTTGTTTTAAACTTTTAGCGTATCTAACATTTTAAAATCGTAATTGGTATGCAACAATTATTTTTTTCAATGCATAATTGGAAATTTTCTATGCGTACTTTACCCGGATACGCAGCTTATCTGGGCCTCTGATTAGGTTTTCCCTCATTCAATCAGGGAACTAGCACTTCCCTGAAAGTTTGGGGCATCACGATTCTCTGTGAGACATACATAAAGAGTATACCGGGGTAGGCAAAACTGCATGAAATATTTCATATCAATTAGTCTTTAATTAACTGATTAACAACAATCTACAAACAATGTTTGGTTGGGTTTCTTTTTGTTCTCCTTTATGATGGACTATTTTAGTTAACAAGATAGAATTGAATGTCTATGGTAGAGAGTAAACATTGTCACATGGAGCTCTGAAATTGAATGTCTATGGTAGAGAGTAAACATTGTCACATGGAGCTCTGAAATTGAATGTCTATGGTAGAGAGTAAACATTGTCACATGGAGCTCTGAAATTGAATGTCTATGGTAGAGAGTAAACATTGTCACATGGACCTCTGAAATTGAATGTCTATGGTAGAGAGTAAACATTGTCACATGGAGCTCTGAATGTCTATGGTGAAAACATTGTCAATGTCTATGGTATGGTAGAGTAAACATTGTCACATGGAGCTCTGAAATTGAATGTCTATGGTAGAGAGTAAACATTGTCACATGGACTGTTTTCTAAGAGAGTAAACATTGTCACACATTGAATGTCTATGGTAATAGTTGTTATGGATGACAATTGCCAAGTGTTTTAACACATTTCTAGCAAATACCAATAATTTTAGTAAAGTTATTTAAATTATTTCAAGCACTGTGTTTCAGTGTTTTCAAGAACCACATGTTCTTAAAATATCTAGTCAAGATTTCTGACTATATTATTGTTCAAAGTATTAACTGTTTTCTAATGTAACATCACTGAAACAGGCACCAGTGTATATGGAGTAGTGTTTATTTTTAGTGTCAATTTCCATTAATCTGCACAAATGGTGACACAGCCTGGCTGAAGCACTGCAAGTGTGCAGCTGCTGCTGGAGTCTGTCAGTCAAGAGTGGATGTAAAGGGCAAACACCCTTGCTAGTCTGAGTCATGGAGTCAACAGGGTTTAACACTTCTGTGATATGTACTTCAGCTATATCGAGATCTGGGAAAAATGGTGACGCTATGCAATAATCACTTAATGTGGGTGATGAAAGTGGTATGGGTCATTGACATTTACCAAAACTACAAGCACAAATTTGGCAGGGCAAATCTATGATGACTGGATTCTGGCACACCAAAGGGAAACAACTCTGCGCAGTGAATCGTGTTGCAGTACACAACAGCCTTATTACCACCCCTTCATACCTAAATCTCTTTTTTCAAAGAAGATACACATTAAGGCACACCAGGACCGGGCTTCAAAATGTTTGTTGTGGGTGAGTGAGTTTAGTTTTGATGCCGCTTGTAGCAATATTCCACCAATATCACAGTGGGGGACACCAGAAATGGGCTTCACACATTGTACCCATGTGGGGAATCAAACCCGGGTCTTTGGCATGACGAGCGAACGCTTTAACCACTCGGCTACTCCCCCAAAAATTGTTTGTAAAATTAAGGAATATTACCTAGGTTGTCAGTGTGACAAACAAAAAACTTTACCCAATCACCTGAGTATGAAACTGAAATAACTGTCAGGTCAAGGTAGGTGAGTGAGTGAGTGAGATTAGTTTTACACCACACTCAGCAATATTCCATCTATTTGGCGGCGGTCTGTAAATAATCGAATCTGGACCAGACAATCCAGGCATCAACAGCATGAACATCGATCTAGGCAATTGGGATACGATGACAGTCAGCAAGCCTGACCACCCGATCTCGTTAGTCGCCTCTTACGACAAGCATGGGGTACTGAAGATCAATTCTAACCCAGATCTTCATGGGTGTCACGGTAGGTGAGTGGAAGATGCTGCTGTATAGAAGTTTGATCCCAGACATTAAAAGATGGCACTAGTTGTTACCCTGCCGGGATTAAGGAAATAAAACACTTGTCGTCCAGCTTACTGTGAGTGAGACAGGTATCCATGTTAACCATGAGGATCTATTTGCACAAAATGTAAGTGGATCAACCTTGACCTCAGCACCATCATGACCATCTTATCACAAGTATTTCTATCAATAAGCTTAGATCACTGAAGAACCTAGTGTTCCCAATGTATTTGTTGGAAGTATTGCTAACATATGCAATTCAAATCTGAATCACCTAATTACAGCCCCAAAGCTTACAGCTTTGCATAGTCATATCCAATCAAACTCACTTCTTAGAGTCAGTAGAAAGACAATAACACCTTGGGGGACAATTTCAGGCCCAGAAGAAAATTTAATAATTGCTTGTCTTCACAGCAATTTTGTACAGGGTGGAATAATGCATTAATATACATGAAATCAAGACTTGGATGAAACTAAAACTGGTTATCTGCCTGTCAAACCATTTCTGTGTCAGCTCTTCTTTCTCTTCTTTGATCCAATAACAGCGACATTAATACCAATGGATCCCTGTACTTGTGTAAAGAATAAATGCAGAGAGACATTAACTGAATAATATATAGTTTGCAAATCTGAGTGTCTGTGACTTACAATGTGACCAATCATTGAGGTTGTTTGCTGGTACTGCGAACACATCACAGCGTAAACTGAAGTGCATTGGGAGTGCGCTGATTTTAGCAATATTCGGGCAATATGATCGTGGGGGACACCAGAAATTAGCTTCACACACTGTACCTATGAGGGGAATCAAACCAGTGTCTTTGGTGTGATAGGGACGGTGGGGTAGTGTAGTGGTTAAAGCGGACACTCGTCATGCCGAAGACCCGGGCTTGATTCCCTGCATGGATACATTTCCGGTGTCATTTCCGCTGTCATATTGCTGGAACATG